ACAACAGCCGTGGATTTTGTTACGGACCTTCCCCCCTCACAAGGGAACACCACGATCCTGGTCGTTGTGGATCGGTTTTCTAAGTCCTATGCCCGGTCTCCCGATGGCTCTACAGACTGCTGAGGCCCTATTTACACACGTCTTCCGGCACTACGGGGTACCTGATATTGTATCGGATATTGTATCGGATTGGGGTCCCCAGTTCACCTCAAGGGTCTGGAGGGCGTTCATGGAACGTCTGGGGGTCTCGATCAGCCTGACCTCAGGTTTTCACCCCGAGAGTAATGGGCAGGTGGAGAGAGTTAACCAGGATGTGGGTAGGTTTCTGTGGTCCTATTGCCAGGACCGGCCGGGGGAGTGGTCGGGTTTTATCCCAAAACTCACTCCGCCACTCCTCCACTAACCTTTCTCCATTTCAGTGTGTGTTAGGTTATCAGCCGGTCCTGGCACCTTGGCATCAGAGCCAGATCGAGGCCCCTGCGGTGGATGAGTGGTTTCGGCGCTCGGAAGAACACTGCCCATGTACGCCTGCAGCGGGCCATCAGGCAACAAAAGGCGAGCGCCGACCGCCACCGCAGTGAGGCACCGGTGTATGCACCGGGGGACCGGGTCTGGCTCTCAACCCGAAACCTGCCCCTTCGCCTGCCCTGCCGGAAGCTGGGTCGGCGGTTTGTGGGGCCATTTAAAGTCCTGAGGAGATTGAACGAGGTATGTTATAGGTTACAGCTTCCTCCTGAGTATCGTATTAACCCCTCATTCCATGTGTCTCTCCTCAGGCCGGTGGTAGCTGGTCCCCTCCAGGAGTCTGAGATATGGGAGGTTCCTCCGCCACCACTGGACATCGAGGGGGCACCGGCGTACTCGGTCCGTTCCATCCTGGTTTCGAGGCGTCGGGTGGGGGGCCTGCAGTATCTCGTGGAGTGGGAGGGGTATGGTCCGGAGGAACCATCCTCGATCCCTCCATGTTGAGGGATTTCCACCGGAGTCATCCAACTCGCCCTGCGCCGCGTCCTCCTGGCCGTCCCCGAGGCCGGTGTCGGTGCACGGCTGGGTCCGCGCATCAAGGGGGGGGGGGGGGGGGTACTGTCACGGATTCAGCCGAGGCTGTTCCTCCTCCTTGCTCGGGCAGGCTTCGGTGTTCGTCGTCACCGGAGTACTAGCTGCTACCGATCCATGTTTCTATGTTCTAATGGTTTTGTCTGTATTGGTCTCACCTGTTTCCCATTATGTAATTATGTCTTCCCTATTTAACCCTCTGGCTCACACTGTGTGTTGTGCGTGTTTGTTCATGTTTTGGTTGTCGTATGTGAGCGGGTTTGTTCCTCCCTGCGTGGAGGTATGTCCATTAAGTTACCTACGAGTAAAGTACGTTTTTTGATTAGCTTTGTGTCCTGCGCCTGACTTCGTCCTACCGCATTACACTGACGCCTTGACACTGACTGACTGACTGTCTAGTAGGAGTTGTGTTCTGATATTATGAGGGGGTCTCTGATGAATTTGCTATCAAAAAAGGTGTCCCCAACGCAAAAATGTTTGGGAACCCCTGCCTTAGAATATATGTTATTTTCTCTAAAGGATTGCATTTATTTGTTTACACACTTTTTAGCTAACAAAAATTCATATATAGGGTAATTAACTGTATATTGTAGTTTTCAGCTTCTTTTAGAACTTCCACCCTCCCAGACCTGTCATAAAATGTTTATATGAAACAAAAACAGCAACAAACACTCTCCTCCCTCCACCAGTCAAATCAAACCAATGCAAAGCAACTGGCCCTCTAACTGCCCTGAGAGGTCAGAAATGTTGACTTTACATCAGTAATTATACCTCTTGATGACCCTCCTGATGATAGATGTCTCTAACAGAACCTCTCATTGCTCAGATTATCATGTGTTGCTCAATGGAAATGTCACGTCTCTCCTACAGTCAACAGAACCATTAGTGGAGAGTACATAATGCGGACGTTCCATAGCAAGCTAGGGGCCAGTATTAGGGGTTACAGCAAAGGAATAAATGGTAGATTATGGGTTATGAAAATTATTGGAATGACTGTATTTTTCTTCCCTCCTGACCATAATGGTTACCTTACCTATCAACTGTCAGGGAAATCAGGGGTTTAGTTAGCATTGATAGTGGAGTCAGATGAAGCAACCACTAAGATGAATACAGAGATTCACTGATTTCAACATTCTAGATTGATAGGATCATTGAGAGATGGGTGTGGTGGCCAAAACAATCCCTCCTCAACAGATCAACAGTAAGCTACTGTACTTCTTTATTTTCTATTTTTTATCAAATTCCCAAAGCATACATACAGTGGGGATAAAAAGTATTTAATCAGCCACCAATTGTGCAAGTTCTCCCACTTAAAAAGATGAGAGAGAAAAAATAATCCAGAAAATCACATTGTAGGATTTTTAATGAATTTATTTGCAAATTATGGTGGAAAATAAGTATTTGGTCAATAACAAAAGTTTCTCAATACTTTGTTATATACCCTTTGTTGGCAATGACACAGGTCAAACGTTTTCTGTAAGTCTTCACAAGGTTTTCACACACTGTTGCTGGTATTTTGGCCCATTCCTCCATGCAGATCTCCTCTAGAGCAGTGATGTTTTGGGGCTGTCGCTGGGCAACACGGACTTTCAACTCCCTCCAAAGATTTTCTATGGGGTTGAGATCTGGAGACTGGCTAGGCCACTCCAGGACATTGAAATGCTTCTTACGAAGCCACTCCTTCGTTGCCCGGGCGGTGTGTTTGGGATCATTGTCATGCTGAAAGACCCAGCCACGTTTCATCTTCAATGCCCTTGCTGATGGAAGGAGGTTTTCACTCAAAATCTCACGATACATGGCCCCATTCATTCTTTCCTTTACACGGATCAGTCGTCCTCGTCCCTTTGCAGAAAAACAGCCCCAAAGCATGATGTTTCCACCCCCATGCTTCACAGTAGGTATGGTGTTCTTTGGATGCAACTCAGCATTCTTTGTCCTCCAAACACGACGAGTTGAGTTTTTACCAAAAAGTTATATTTTGGTTTCATCTGACATTCTCCCAATCCTCTTCTGGATCATCCAAATGCACTCTAGCAAACTTCAGACGGGCCTGGACATGTACTGGCTTAAGCAGGGGGACACGTTTGGCACTGCAGGATTTGAGTCCCTGGCGGCGTAGTGTGTTACTGATGGTAGGCTTTGTTACTTTGGTCCCAGCTCTCTGCAGGTCATTCACTAGATCCCCCCGTGTGGTTCTGGGATTTTTGCTCACCGTTCTTGTGATCATTTTGACCCCACGGGGTGAGATCTTGCGTGGAGCCCCAGATCGAGGGAGATTATCAGTGGTCTTGTATGTCTTCCATTTCCTAATAATTGCTCCCACAGTTGATTTCTTCAAACCAAGCTGCTTACCTATTGCAGATTCAGTCTTCCCAGCCTGGTGCAGGTCTACAATTTTGTTTCTGGTGTCCTTTGACAGCTCTTTGGTCTTGGCCATAGTGGAGTTTGGAGTGTGACTGTTTGAGGTTGTGGACAGGTGTCTTTTTATACTGATAACAAGTTCAAACAGGTGCCATTAATACAGGTAACAAGTGGAGGACAGAGGAGCCTCTTAAAGAAGAAGTTACAGGTCTGTGAGAGCCAGAAATCTTGCTTGTTTGTAGGTGACCAAATACTTATTTTCCACCATAATTTGCAAATAAATTCATAAAAAATCCTACAATGTGATTTTCTGAAAATAAAATTCTCAATTTGTCTGTCATAGTTGACGTGTACCTATGATGAAAATTACAGGCCTCTCATCTTTTTAAGTGGGAGAACTTGCACAATTGGTGGCTGACTAAATACTTTTTTCCCCCACATTTATTCACATTTGCTAAATAATATGACAAAGGAAATCATCACATACAATGAAAAATGTGCATCAACAATCTAAATACAGGTGTTTATAAAAGTGTGCTCAGTCAGTTCAGTTCAAACCGAGCCAAGTGCATCTCTCATGTTTATACTCAACATGACAGCAGAACCATTGCCCGTCTATCTCACAGGGCTTCACAAAGAATCCCTGGGAGTGGACATCACATGTATGATTGTCTAATCGTCTTACTACGGAGTCTGTCACTATTATTTACACTGAAATAAATATTTTCACCTAGAAGCACAATACAACACCTTTTGACCATCATGTTACCTTGTGCTTTTCTTTTGCATCGTCCTATACCCCATATTTTGTTTTCCCAAGAAGTACAACTGCATGTATTCTACACTTAAACATTTTGCTAGTTTGCTTCCAAGGTAATGTAAAAAACAACAACCTGTGATTAAAATCCAGTCCAATTTCCAGTGCATTATTGAGAGAAGTATATTTAAAAACAAAGAAAAGCTACTATATGTCTGATATGGTATTTTTCGGTGTAAGGCACGTATCAAGTCATATACAGCGTGATCTAATAACAGTTCAATCATGTTGTGCTCAAGAGAGATTACAAATCGTTATATTAAATAAATATAACACTTTGTTCATAAGGCATTCAGTAGAAATAAGCAACAGCAAATCAAGGGCCATCTAGAATAAATTATAAGTCTTATATCATAAACTGCTGCGAGGACTCCTGAGAAGTATACTGTACTATATTGCTTCCATATACAGTTTCAGTTATAAAGTATGTGTAAAGACATCTGAATGTCAAATATTCATTCACTTAACAACTCATTTCTCCATCTTCAGTAGCACGGCAAACTGTAGTTATCAACAATATATTCTCATCTTTGACACTATTCTGGATGAAGCTTCCCAGAGTCTAGGTAATTGTTCTCATATACAGTACATTATATACATTTATATTTTCTATGGTTCAGTTGGTTTAGCAGCTGTATAAAGGTTATCTGTTCACAAACAGCTACTGTACCACAAGATGAAATAAATAAATGAAAAACTTTGATGTACACAATACAAAATAAATACATAATATCCTGTATTTTTTCCCTTGTATAGAAAACTGTCCCTATACGCTCACGTCATAACTTTGGGAGCGTTTCCTACACAGCCTGCGGAACCACACCCAGTAGAGGAAGATCATGAGGAACCAGTAGCAGACGTACGCCACACAGCCGTAGATCAGAAACCTGGTCTCTAGTACCTTAGCCGGCGTGAACCAGCCCTTCTGGCTCTCCTTGTAGATGGTGTAGCAGAACCCTCCCAGCAAGATGGCCGCCCACACCGACAGAGGCAGCAGGGGGATGTAATTCCCAACCATCTTGCGGCGGCCCGACGTGCCCCAGCTGCTCTTGTTCATGGTGATGATGGCAAAGTACTTGGCGGGTAGCAGGCTGGTCATGTAGAGGGCAGAGTAGAGGGACATGAACAACATCACCAGGTCACGGCGCAGGATGCAGGCATAGGCCGCCTTGATCAGGCCGATGAGCTGGATGCAGCAGAGGACCCAGAGGATGTCCCACAGGGTGCCTGTCCAGAACAGCTGGATGATGGTGGCCGTGACGAAGAAGGGGAAGACACCAGAGACGATGGACTCGTAGGTCATCCACAGGTGGTGCTTGTGCCACCACATGGCGTTGTAGAGCCACTCACGGAAGTAAGACTTGGTCCAGCGCGTCTGCTGGTTGAGCCACCGGAGGAACTGGCCTGGCGTCTCTGTGTAGCACTTGGAGCGGGCCGTGTATCTGAGAGCAGAGGATGGATGATGATGAGTCTATTATCATCTTATCATCTCTAGTAAAGTGTTGTGGTAGAGTATGTGTGAAGACATGTATACTCACTTGGTGGCATAACCCATGCTGAGCATACGATTGGTGAGATGTCTGTCATCCCCAAATGTGCAGTGAGTCCCCAGGAACTTCTGGTTGTACCAGGACTCTAAGAACTGCTGGAGGAGGTCATTCCTGTACAGACCTGAGGATAAAACCAAACCTATGTTATAGTTCTGCAGTTCACATGCAAGTATATTCAAATTACTGAAAACAAATAGCATAGTAATATTACACGACTACCAGTAACATAAACAAGAGAAGCAAGGTTATGTCTCATGTTTATCGCGGTCACAGGAAAGTGTATTTTCCTTACCCAGGGGGCCGCTGATGCAGGAGACACAGTTGAAGAAGGACTGGCAGGACCTCTCGATGTTGAACGCCATCCAGTAGCGCAGGCTGCTCATGAAGCTGATGTAGGACTCCTTGAGGTTGAGGATCATCACGTCTCCTCCCACCGCCCCGTACTTCTGGTTGCTCTCCAGAACCTTACACAGCTCCACCGTAGCCAGGGGGTCTAGCTTGGTGTCAGAGTCACACACCTGGAAGAGTGAGAGAGAGAAATGATTATTAACATTAGTTATTAACAATTATTAACATTATAGGACAAGAAACAGAATGAAGATACTGTGTGCTCTGATCCAAGGTGTGTTTTCTTAATGAAATACAGTATTTCCCTAATCTCAAGAGCCATACAAAGAGATATAAATCAACTCCTCACCTGTAGGTAGTCCACCGACAGTCCCAGTGCCTTGAATGCTGTGTACATCACCTCCCTCTTTCCACCCCACTTCTGCATGATGCACACACACCTCCTGCTGTTGATCAGATCCTCCACCTCCCTCCTCTGGGGGTCCTCTCCCAACCCATAACTAGCGTCCCCGGCGGGGCCTATCACCCCGGGGATGCCCCACTCCTGGGTCTGGGTGGGGTCCCACGTGTGGTAGTTATTCCTCCACACGTAACAGCCAGGGTCCTGGTCTGCAAACACCTCCCTGAACATCTCCAGCATGTAGAGGTCGTCCTTCGAGTTCCCATCCACCACCATGATGACCCGCAGCAGCTCTGGAGGGTACTTGAGGGCCCGAATGGAGTTGAGGCACTCGCGCAGGTACTCTGGGTCCTCCTGGTAGGCTGAGATAGTGAAGCCGATGGTCTTGGTGAAGGTGCAGGCCTTGCTTCGGGCCCTCATGCGGCGGTGCTCCACGAAGGCGAACAGGCTCTGGACCAGGACGTGGAGCCCCAGCAGGAGGCCGTAGAAGCCGAAGGAGATGATGCCGTACGGGGAGGTGGCCAGCTGGAAGCCCTGGACGTAGGCCCACACCATCACCCCCAGCACCACCAAGGCAAAGAGGAATGTCAGGATGGCACGGACTATCGAGCCCATCCGCCTTAGCAATGGTTTCAGTTCCATTTTTTCCCCCTTTTAGATACCTATTGTCAATCAAGAAGATGAACATTGAAGATAAATACATTGGAACAGGAACAAATAGGCAAAATTAAAGATTATATTTAATTTATTGAATTAAGTGAGTTGATTGATTGAATTAGCCTACTGAAAATACAACAGAAAGGTACAGCAAGTATTATCATATCAACAATACTGTGTCTACAAAATGGATTCGATTTTAACCATTAGGGTAGCTTATTACAAGATATAAAAAAAATAGTTGGGCATCATTCTGTCAAGTAAGCTGCAGATCACTATGAATACCAAAGACATCCTACCACAAAAACGTTATCATGAAGAAAAAAGAAAAAAGAAAAAATGTTTTTATTTGACCCATCGATCTTCAAAAGATATCATCAAGAAGTTACCTTGTTTCTTTATGACGTAAACAACGTAGCGCAAAAACAAATTTTATTTCTAATGGTCAATAAAAAACAAAAATATTTGGATTAAAAATGTATAGCCTTACCTGACTTTGGTGCCAAGTTACTGCACTCTTGAAATGCCCCTTCCTCTCCGTCTCCTACTCTCTCTCTACTCTGGCAATTTGCGTGAAGTTTGATTACTTTATAAACTTGAGAAACAGGCTTACTCCAGATGCTGCCAGATGTGAGCGCACATACAGTGGCCCATAGCAAACCATCATAGGTATCACGCCCTTAATACTGAGTTTGTGAGTCAGCACGTGCTGCGTCAAAGTAGAAAGGAGGTCCATATTGAATTCACCAAATATAAATCCACAGGGATTAGTTTTACTTCAGTAAGAGTAGTTATGTGCGTCACTTTTATAGTAAAATCCGTATGTTGGATTTCATTCAGGAATGCACAATTTCGTAAATATCTAATCATTACAATTTTGACTCACAGATGTCGCACTGTGTCAACTATCTATCTGCCTTTTGTAAATGGATCTAATACAGGGTAAACCTCCATAATGACCACAATAATCCAGAAAATTAACCTCCTCTTCTTTTGTCTTACACTATCTGTTTGTATTGTCGACAAAACAACATTGATCTTGATCAATTGTAGGCTACTTATTTACAGTTCTGTAATTCATTTTGTCACATTTTAGAATACAGTAATTTAGATATTATTCACTTGACAATCGAATAGAATAGAGTAGAATAAAATGTTAACATAGGGAACTTGTGGCATTTGGATTCGACAATAAATACATAACAGCACAATTCACATATAGCACAAACCCCTTATACAAGATAAACCGAAAGTGTGGGAAATATCACTACCCTCATCACCACCCAATAATCTTCAATGGAAATGTATGATCACACCTACCTTGTCCCTGACCAGTCACTGCCATGATCTGTCAAGAAGTTGAATGATGCCCTCTGGTGGCACAATAATAACCCTGCATCCTTTCTCTTGTAATGAACATTGTCAGGCAATACTAGCCACAAGGCTAACAAATATATAACCACCACCACACATGAATGGTGCATAGAGATGGGCACATCAAGCAGTGTTTATGACCATATGACCATGTCTTATCTCATGGATCAACCTGAGGGTCTTTGTTTTGGTTCAGTGACAGTGAAACATGACACATTATAATACTGCGAGTATTTGACATTGCCTTGACTCAATGTTCCCAAACGGTGGGTCGGAACTCGGGACCCAATGGTCAATCACCACTAACTCCGCTTGGGTTGCAGACACCAAAAATATTGGTTTTATTTGTGGTTTTGCATGGGTCACAAGAAAATTCCCAACAGCCTCAGAGAGCAAATAATTTGGGAACCACTGCCATATGTATTTTGGCTGGTTCAATATTGATGACCTCGAAAGACCTAGCTGCAGTGGTGGATAAAGTACCCAATTGTCATACTTGAGTAAAAGTTAAGATACTGTACCTTAATAGAAAATAATGACTCAAGTAAAAGTGAAAGTCACCTAGTAAAATACTACTTGTGTAAATGTCTACAAGTATTTGGTTTTAAATGTACTTAAGTGTCAAAAGTAAATGTAATTGCTAAAATATACTTAAGTATCAAAAGTAAAAGTATAAATCATTTCAAATTCCTTATATTAAGCAAACCAGATGGCATGATTTTCTTTTCTTTCTTTTTTTTACGGATAGCCAGGGGCACACTCCAAAACTCCAACTTCATTTACAAATGAAGCATTTGTGTTTAGTCAGTCTGCCAGATCAGAGGCAGTAGCGATGACCAGGGATGTTCTCTTGATTCTGTAAGTGAGTGAAATTGACAATTTTCCTGTCCTGCTAAGCATTCAAAATGTAACAAGTACTTTTGGTTGTCAGGGAAAATGTATAGAGTAAAAAGTACATTATTTTCTTTAGGAATGTAGTAAAGTAAAATACAAATATCCCAAAAAACGACTTAAATAATACTTCAAAGTATTTTTACTTAAGTATTTTACACCACTGCCTAGCTGTCCATTCTACTTTATTGAGTTGTAACTTGTTCCCATTTTACCCTGACTACATCTCTAGGGACATGGAAATCTGTTGATGAGATCGTTGAAGGCCCACACGCATAGCCACTGGCACTGTTATGAACAAATCCACACGCCTCAGGTCAGACCTAAATAGAATGCCTCAGGCCACAGGGCCAACAGAGCCCTTGGTCTGGTCACTATGATGTCATGGTGAAGGGTGTGGTACTTGGGGTATTTTGGATGGTGGGCAGACTTGGAAAATCTGGGTATTCTACCGTATTGTGAGAATATTCCATAGTCTAAATGGAATATGTATTCTTTGCTAGACTCAATTTGGTCTTTGGGTCACCCACCCGCTCATGTTTATTTATTATCGCTTAAGATGGAAGATCACTGTATATCCAGCAGAGGGAGCCAAGTGTTCAGTTTTTACCTCTTATACCATCTAGCGCAGGGGTGTCAAACTCATTTTAGCTCAGGGGCCACATGGAGGAAAATCTATTCCCAAGTGGGCCGGACCGGAAAAATCATGGTATATATAACTTAAAAACAACAACTTCAGATTGTTTTCTTTGTTTTAATACGATCAACATACAACATAAAGCTGGAGCCTGAGGACAGTGTGTCCAAAATAGTACAAGCACAACATCACTATTAATCATAAAACACGTCAAGTTTATTTGAAAATTCTAAAGAAAAAGAACACACAAACACACAATGCCTCAGTGATTAACAGAACTGTTTCACAGATCACAGAACTATATCAGGGTGTCATTTCTCAGGCAGAAATGTAGATAAAAATAATGAAATCCTGTTCCCCAAACAAGTGCAAGAACCACAGAGTCAAGAATAGGTTAAATATACAAATAAAATAAAATCAATTAAAAACAATAGCACATCATAAAAACATATAAACATAAATCTGAAAGCGTTGCTCAAACTCCCGTAACAGTCCCGTTATTTTATCTTTGAACCGCTTCATGTCTGCCACATGTTGGGTCGCGCACACATTTTTCAGACAGGGGAAGTGAGCTGCATCACCACCGGCAAGTTGCGTCTCCCACAATGACAGCTTCAACTTGAAAGAACGTATGCTGTCATAATACTGCGTGACAACTTTGTTGCGCCCTTGCAGTTGTTTGTTCAAGTTATTCAGGTGCTCTGTAACATCCACCATAAATGCAAGGTCCTGCATCCATTCTGCGGAATGAAATTCTAACACTGGTTTGCCCTTTTCTTCCATGAACTGTTCAATTTCTTCTCGTAAATCAAAGAAACGCCTCAGCACAATACCTCGGCTTAACCATCTTACCTCAGTGTGGTATGGCAGGCCATAGATGTGGTCTTTCTCTCTGAGAAGGCTGTCAAACTGACGGTGATTCAGGCTTCTGGATCGGATGAAATTAACAGTTTGGATGACCACCTTCATGACGTTATCCATCTTTAATGACTTGCAACACAAAGCCTCCTGGTGCAAAATACAGTGAAAAGTCTAAAAATCACGTCCTCCATTTGCAGATTGCACTTTCTCTCTGAACTTTGTCACAACGCCTGCTTTCTTCCCGATCATTGAGGGCGCACCATCTGTAGCCAGGCTGACAGCGAGGGACCAGTCCACTCCGACCCTGTCCAGCGCGCCGACGAGTGCGGTAAAAATATCAGCTGCTGTCGTTGTAACTCCTCGGTGACGGTCAATGTGTCATCAACTCCGCGGATGAAAATGGTCAGTTGTGCAACATCTGTAATGTCCGTGCTTTCATCAATTGCAACCGAAAACGCAATAAATGACTACTTTTTGCTTCAACTGGCTGTCCAAATCCACTGAAAGATCGGAAATCCTGTCTGCAACTGTGTTTCTTGTCAGGCTGATATTTGCAAAAGCCTGCCGCTTTTCAGGGCACACAATCTCCGCTGCCTTCATCATGCATGTTTTTACAAATTCACCCTCATTAAATGGTTTTGAAGCCACTGCGATTTCATTAGCAATGAGGTAGCTAGCTTTCACTGCAGCGTCACTGATGTCTCGGCTGTGAGTAAACACAGACTGCTGTTTCTTCAGACCCGCCAACAGTTCATTCACCTTCTCTCATCTCCGCTGTCCTTGAAAGTTGTCATATTTGTCGGCATGAAGACTCACATAGTGGCGACGAAGGTTATATTCTTTCAGCACTGCAACATGCTCTGAACACACCAAACATACAGCTTTCCCATTCAATTCCGTGAATAAATAGGATGACCATTTTTCTTGGAACACTCTGCACTCTGCGTCCACTTTTCTCTTTTTTGACAGAGACATATTGGGGCAATGAGGGTGCCAAAGCACATAATGTTAAAAGTAGAAGCCGTAATAAATATCGCGGGCAAAACAAAGTAGCTCATTGGCTGCACGTGCTTGACCTACTTGCTCTGCCCCGGTATAAACAGTTTGCTTGCTTAACACAATTGCTATTGCGCCATCCAGTGGACGCAATTGGAACAGCAGTTTATTTTATTGAGAAATTGCAGCGCATTTTTATACTTTACAAAAAAGTATTATTATTATATTTTTTTCGAAATCATCTCGCGGGCCGGATTAAACCCGTTTGCGGGCCTGATCCGGCCCGCGGGCCGGACGTTTGACACCCCTGATCTAGCGTCTTCACAATAGCCCAAATTCAGTAGGCTAATTAAAATCCTCTCATAAGAAGTCAACCCTATGATGTCACTCAACAAAGACCACATGATAAACCATTCAATAAACAGACATGCTTTATTTGATATCATCAGTTCAAATTGTTAGTTCCATGACATCAGGACCAGCCTTTGCTACTTAGCCGGATGCCATGGTGTTTTGGATCCATGACACGTAGTTGCAGACTTTGGTGTAGACGCCAGGCTTCTTCCTGAGAGCACAGCCATGACCCCAGGACACAACACCCTGCAGCTCCCCATCACACACCAGAGGGCCACCAGAGTCACCCTGGTGGGGTAGAGAGAGAGAGAGAGAGAGAGAGAGAGAGAGAGAGAGAGAGAGAGAGAGAGAGAGAGAGAGAGAGAGAGAGAGAGAGAGCAACAAGCCAGAGTGACATGAAAAGATAAAGAGAGTCAGTGACAGAGCAAGAAGAAGAGAGACAAAAAAATATATGCATCATGGTGCAAACTGTGAAAGCAAGAAAGTGAAATATGAAGAAGTATAGTACAGGTCTATTCTGTCTGTTACCTGGCAGGAGTCCTTGCCTCCCTCCATGAAGCCAGCACAGATCATGTTCTCAGTTATCTGGAAGAAATAGGCTTCCAGACAGGTGTTATCAGTCAGGAGGGGACCTCCACACACTGTAGTGTGTCAGGGTACCTCGCTGGAACAGAACATCAAAGAAAGACAGAGTTAGAGACATGTAACAAGTCATTAAGACTTTCAATTAAAACAAATCAGAAGTGGAAAACTTTAGATTTCTTAAGACTGTAAAAGTACCAATCACTCTAAAATAACTGTTGTCCTCAGCTGTTAACCATTTATAGCCAAGACAGCATGATATCTAATCAGGTACTGAACACACTGGGCAAGCAGTTCACCTGGGGTAAAAGACGCAGCTGTTTTACACAACCACACACACACACATACACACAAACACAAGCACACACACGTACGCACAAATGTACACACAAATGTTTGTATTCGTATCTTTTATTATTTCTTATTGTTGTTGCATTGTCGAGAAGGAACCTGAAAGTAAGCATTTTGTTGGATGGTGTATACCATGTGTATCCAGTACATACGACTAATAAAACACTAATAAGACACACATTCCACTCACAGCCTTCGTTGCTGGCGCGGAGGCTCCCCCAGCCAGAGACCTGGCACATGGTTCCAGCAGTGCTACACTTAGTGGGGAGGGCCACAGGGCTCACATAGCTGTTGAGGGTGTCAGGCTGGCTTAGCTTGATCAGCGCGATGTCACTGTCCTGGGTACCAGAGTTGTAGTCTGGGTGGCGGATGAACTGGGCAGACATGATGTGTTGCTCCATGTCCTCAGGCTCCTTGATGTTGTGCTCCCCCAGACGGACCTCCAATGGCGACCTGCAGGGTTATAACCAGAATGGAGATGATACTGTAGTAGTTGGAGGGGAAGGAGGGTCCTGCACTGGGGAACTTGTTAGATTTGCTGTATGTTAAGGTTTACCCATTTCATCCAAACAGTTCTACAACAGTTGTGGTCTTAAATCCGAATGGACTCAACCATTAAACATGATATTACAAAGAGCAAAGCATACCATGTCAAATGTTTGTCCATCAATACCAGTGGAGGCTGCTGAGGGGAGAACAGTTCATAATAATGGCCGGAACAGAGCAAATGGAATGGCATCAAACACCTGGAAACCATGTGTTTGATGTATTTGATACCATTCCACTGATTCCGCTCCAGTCATAACCACGAGCCCGTTCTCCCCAATTAAGGTGCCACCAACCTCCTGTGATCAATACACTACCTTCTTTACTTGTTTCTCTTTAAGTCCAACTAACACCTAAGGAAAGAAGAGTGAGTTTCTAGATTAAATGGGGATTTTAAGGCCTACACCACCAGAATGTTAATGCAATAAAATAAAGTGTAAAAAACAACAACATTTAAACTATTTTTGAAATTCTCTAGCACATAGTAACTCTGCAGTCTGTGCTTACGATTTGTAGCAGTGGGCAGCAGAGAGCACCCATTCACTAGAGAGGAGGATCCCTCCACAGAAGTTGTACCCTGTGTTCAGAGACACCTGGTAGGGAACAGAGTTCTTCCTACACTCATACCTGTCACGGAATCTGCCGAGGCTGCTCCTCCTCCTTGTTTGGGCAGGCTTCGGCGTTCGTCGTCCCCGGAGTACTAGCTAACACCGTTGAATGTTTTGATGTTCGTTTGGTTTGGTCTGTCTGTTACACCTGTGTCCGTTTGGTCTTGATTATGTGCCTTATAAGTTTCCTGTGGTTGTGTTCGTTAGTTGTGTGTTATTTTAGTTCCTGTCTGTTGGTGGTATCCTGTGCAGTACTCTGGCATTGTTATTAATACGCACGGTGTTGCGTTGTCGTTTTGCCTCCTCGTTAGAGGCACTTTATTTTGTACTGGTTGTGCATCTAGTAAAGTCCTGTTCGACTTAGCTTATGCGTCCTGCGTCTGACTCCTCTCCACGCACCCACACCAACACTGACAATACCCTCCTACGATCTTGTCCTACGATCTCGCAGTGCTAACTGTGCCACTAGAGATCCTGGTTCGAATCCAGGCTCTGTCGCAGCCGGCCGCGACCGGGAGATTCATGGGCGACGCACAATTGGCCCAGCGTCGTCCAGGGTAGGGGAGGGAATGGCCGGCAGGGATGTAGCTCAGTTGATAGAGCATGGCGTTTGCAACGCCAGGGTTGTGGGTTCGATTCCCATGGGGGGCCAGTATTACAAAAAAATACAAAAATATGTATTCACTAACTGTAAGTCGCTCTGGATAAGAGCGTCTGCTAAATGACTAAAATGTAAATGTAAATGTTGTTGTCCCCCTCAAGGGCAACTAAAGTTCAAAGGGAAATAAAACAAAACAAAAGCCTGATTGAGATTAAATGACATCTTAGGTTTTTCATCAGAATCCGGTGTTAACATCGACCAGCAATTTCTTATCTTATGTACTCTGAGCTCATTATTAGGTCAAATTATGAGTTACTCCCCTACCTGATGTCTCCCCCCCCCCACTGATAATAACATAGACAGAGTCACTGGGAGTCACAGATAATAACATAGACAAGTCATGCCTGCATATAATCATATATGGCTGCAACTACCTTACTGATGCATGAGTAATAGCTACACTCATTTGTTAGGTTCTAACCAGAAATGCATCAGTCGTCTATACAGTCAAAACTGTATATGTTTCCATTTACAACATTATAATGAAAACTGTATGCTTCCCAGTTATAATGCAAGTAACTTATTGACACATTGTACACTCTTAGAAAAAAGGGTTACAAAAGGGTTCTTCAGCTGTCCCCGTAGGAGAACCCTTTTGTGTTCCAGGTAGAACCCTTTTTGGTTCCAGGTTGAACCCTTTTGGGTTCCATGTAGAACCCTCTGTAGAAAGGGTTCTACATTTTACATTTACATTTTAGTCATTTAGCAGATGCTCTTATCCAGAGCGACTTACATTATTTTTTTATTTTTCATACTTTTTTTCATACCCCCGTGGGAACTACATGGAACCCAAAAGGGTTCTACCTGAAACCAAAAGGGTTCTACCTGGAACCAAAAAGGGTTATTCAAAGGGTTCTCCTGTGTGGACAGCCGAAGAACCCTTTTAGGTTCTAGATAGCAATATTTTTTCTAAGAGTGAGTGTATAGGCTACAACTAGCATCAAAGTTGTCCTCAAATGAACAATAAATTAATTTGTCAGGTGTTGTTTGACAATTGGAAATTCCTCCTAAGATGGGTTTGTCCTTGTGTATGTTTTCAATTATATTTTCAATAAAACTGTTTTCTAATGGGTTTTCACACATATTTCCCCTTGTCCTGTTAGAACCTGTGAATTCAAGCTCAACTGATGTTGAATATGAATCGGTCATAGAAAGCTCTGCCTGCACTAAACATCAGGCAGTGTGGGTTGGTTGGTTCCTTAAACCTCTGTCATTTGAAAGCCAAAGATAGCTGTGTGTCATTTCTATATGACTCCACACACGAGAATGTTGAGCAAGTGCGTGCGCATAACTCAAAATGTGGTTATAGTTATAGATGTGGTTATGTAATGCTGAAAATGTTGCTCTTCTTCACAGAAAATACATAATTAAAAGTGTCACCGAATAGTTGGAAATGAGTAACAAACTGCAATGTGAAAATATGCCCCATAGGCCTACAACTAGGGGGCAGAAGAACACCTGAGTGTGTTACCCTAGTATCTTACTAGTTATTCACAGAATATGACAAGCGATATATAGATTTTTTACAGCAGTCAAATTATGTTTTCTTGTGAGTGGAGCATGAGATGACTAATAAACAACAATATTACAATACTATCTCCATGACAACAACAATCATGTTCAGCTGCAGAGCGTTGCCAATCAGAATGAAATCAAACACTCATCATGAAACAGCATTTGGGTTAACTCTGTGGTATGTGTAATGATAATGGTGATTGAACTGTATCTTTCCATCCCTTGAGTGTATTTGTATTTAATTTTTTTTAACCTTTATTTAACTAGGCAAGTCAGTTAAGAACAAATTCTTATTTACAATGACGGCCTACACCGGCCAAACCAGGATGACGCTGGGCCAATTGTGCACCGCCCTATGGGACTCCCAATCACAGCCGGTTGTGATACAGCCTGGAATCGAACCAGGAGGTCTGTAGTGACCCCTCAAGCACTGAGATGCAGTGCCTTAGACCGCTGCGCCACTCGGTGTGCAGGACTGTGTTGCTCAATCCTCACAGGAAAGATTAGTGAATTCACAATTTCCCCTCGTGACATTTCTGCAGTCGTCATTCATTTAAGATAAGTGACATGTTGAGGTACAGGAATAAACACAAGTTCTTCTTTTTGAGGGACAGTTTGTCCGTTTCATGACACAAGGTGGTTTATTGACGTTATCACATTATTTGTTGATGGTTTATGATCACAATACTAAGTAACTAACTAACCAGAGAAAGCTGTCATCTAGGCAAAGGGTGGCTTTTTGAAGAATCTCAAATATAAAACATATTTTGATTTGTTTAACACTTTTTTGGTTACTATATGATTCCATATGTGTTATTTCATAGTTTTGATGTCTTCACTATTATTCTACAATGTAAAAAATAGTAAAAATAAAGAAAAACCCTTGAATGAGCAGGTGTGTCCAAACTTGACTGGTGTCACGATCGTCTAGTAGCGAAGTAGACCAAGGCGCAGCGTGTGAAAGAAACATGACTTTATTTTATAAAGTACTCACAAACCAAACAAAACACGACTCGTGAAGTCCAACGGCTAACACTGACCGTAAAGGAACAAAAACCCACAAACACAAGGTGAAAACAGACAGTTTAAATATGGCTCCCAATCAGAGACAACAGCTGACACTCGTTACCTCTGATTGGGAGTCACTCAAACAAAGAAACACAACAACCTAGAACAACCCAACCAAGAAACAGAACACAAAGAAACGAACACACCCTGGCTCAACATACAGAGTCCCGGAGCCAGAGCGTGACAGTACCCCCCCCCTAAAGGCGCGGACTGCGACCGCGCCTCAATAAGGGCTAAACAAGGGAGGGCTGGGCGGGCATACCTCCTCGGCGGCGGTTCTGGCCCCGGCCTTGCCCACCACCCTCCAAACAACCCCCCATAGCGCCCCTGGTCCGGTCTGACCCCGCTGGCTGGATCTGGACTGGACAATGACGGAGCGGATTGCTTACGCTCCGTTGTGGAGCAGCTGACCGGTCTTACCAGGCTGACGACTCGTACCCCGGGCTTGGTGCGAGTAGCAGGAACGGGCTGAACCAGGCTGACGACTCGCACCCCTGGCTTGGTGCGAGTGGCAGGAACGGGCTGGACCAGGCTGACGACGCACCCCGTAGGCTTGGTGCGTGGAGCAGGGACAGGCCGGGCTGGACTGACGACGCACACCGTAGACCTGGTGCGTGGAGCAGGGACAGGCCGGACAGGGCTGGCGACGCACCCCGTAGGCTTGGTGCGTGGTGCAGGGACAGGCCGGGCTGGGCTGACGACGCACACCGTAGGCTTGGTGCGTGGAGCAGGAACAGGCCGGACAGGGCTGGCGACGCACACCGTAGACTTGGTGCGTGGAGCAGGAACAGGCCGGGCAGGGCTGGCGACGCACACCGTAGACTTGGTGCGTGGAGCAGGAACAGGCCGGGCAGGGCTGGCGACGCACACCGTAGACTTGGTGCGTGGAGCAGGAACAGGCCGGGCTGGGCTGGCGACGCACACCGTAGGTTTGGCGCGTGGAGCAGGAACAGGCCGGGCAGGGCTGTCGACGCACACCGTAGACTTGGTGCGTGGAGCAGGAACAGGCCGGGCAGGGCTGTCGACGCACACCGTAGACTTGGTGCGTGGAGCAGGAACAGGCCGGGCAGGGCTGTCGACGCACACCGTAGACTTGGTGCGTGGAGCAGGAACAGGCCAGGCAGGGCTGTCGACGCACACCGAAGACTTGGTGCGTGGAGCAGGAACAGGCCGGACCGGGCTGGAGACGCGCACCGTCCATTTGGTGCGAGGGGCCGTAACAGGCCGGACCGTACTGGGGACACACACCACTGGCTCTACTCCGGGAACTGGAACGGGCCGGACCGGACTGGTAACACACCCCAGTACCTCTCGCCGTGCCTCTAAACCTCCTTTCCCTACTTTGACCAGTGGCCCCCGTAACCTGGTGGCCTTTTGAATACGCCCCTTCTCTGCCTCCGTCAGCCCCGTCGTCCATGCCCTGTGCCCCCCCCTAAAAAATTCTTGGGGGTGCCTCTCGTCCGTCCGACGATGGCACTGCTGACGCCGCTGCTCCTCTCTCGCCAGGGCCTTGATCCTACCCCAAGGTCCCTTGCCCCCGAGCATGTCCTCCCAGGACCACACTTTGCCCACCTGGGCCATCGCCAGCCTCTCCATCTCCTTTCCCGGCGCTTCCTCCCATGTCCAGTCTGCCTCCGTCTGGACACGCTGCTTGGTCGTTGTATGGTGGGTTTTTCTGTCACGATCGTCTAGTAGCAAAGTAGACCAAGGCGCAGCGTGTGAAAGAAACATGACTTTATTTTATAAAGTACTCACAAACCAAACAAAACACGACTCGTGAAGTCCAACGGCTAACACTGACCGTAAAGGAACAAAAACCCACAAACACAAGGTGAAAACAGACAGTTTAAATATGGCTCCCAATCAGAGACAACGAGCCAACAGCTGACACTCGTTACCTCTGATTGGGAGTCACTCAAACAAAGAAACACAACAACCTAGAACAACCCAACCAAGAAACAGAACACAAAGAAACGAACACACCCTGGCTCAACATACAGAGTCCCGGAGCCAGAGCGTGACAACTGGTAGTGTACATTTTTAAAGCTTGCTGGAATATAGTTCCAGCTCACTTTACATGCCTCTGAAAGTGTATTATTAAAATATCTAAAATATTTTTCCTGAGTCAAATACTTCAGGAAAGTAAGAGGTAGACAAAACGTATACTACAGTGTGTGCCAAGGTGTTTATCAGCACTAAACAGGGTGCATTTAGCCAAACCCTGTGATTATATGCACTTATGGTTTAAATATAACACACTCTCATCCAGTACAGGCAAGTTGTTCTCTTCATTTGCTGTTTGTCGCATATCTTAAGTCTAGGAGAATAATGCCTCATTCATTCTTTGTGTATATTGAAATGTATTTTGTGACCTCCCCTCTCTGACTATGTTGACATTGATGGATGGTTTCTCAACTGGATTATTTTCAAGAGTGGCTACAGAATAAAAAATAAATGGAAAAAAACAGCTGAAAAACTACAGCTGCATATTGTTTGGGCCAATTAAATAGCTCTATCAGCCTTTAGACTACAGCATGTTTCTGTCAACAGTTGGGTTGGGTGGATCAACTTTCACCAGCATCAACCAGCAACAACCGCAGCGCCTGCAAAATTACTCAATTTTGCAATAAGCGGAAAGTAGTGCTTTCCTGTTCTGATATCAAAAGTGAAGATCTGTGTAAAAAGTCTTATTTAGTCACCCGACATGTACCATGTGTCACCCAGATGCCCGCTTTCTTGAGGCTCCGCAAAACAGAGCTCACTAGATGTGGTCAACGGGCAGAGAAAAAAGCAACAAGAAATATGTCACAGTCCTCTCTTATGCGGCCCGAGGAGGCTATTGACCTTGACAGTGGGCCAGCGCCTCTGCTCACATTTTCCCCAAAACACACATATTCACTTCCTCGATGCTTTCCACAGCCCTTTTGGTCCAATGAGGGACAACAACCCTTGCTCTTCTCTTCATCTTCACCATCTGGGGCTCGCTCCTCCTCCTCCTCCAGCTCCTGTTTCTCCCTCCCCCTCCCTTCCTCCCTCTCTCCCCCCTTTCTCCCAGATGCACTGGGACACAGACTGTCAGATGGTCCTCTGCCACAGATCTGTATGGCACATGTCCCCGTCATCTTGTATGATGTCAATCTGTGCCATGTTTGATCATTCTGCGTCCCTTAGGTCTGCCCAGGGGAGCTGGCATTGTGGTTGGAAGTAGGGACAGAATGTATATAAGGAAGTGGTTTGGGGTAGTGACGTTCAGCTCTTTCTTCATTTGTGTGGTGAAACTTGGGGGGGAAACGTAGCGGGTTTGTGCGGTGGGGGGAAGGAAGGCACTCATTTTGACTCAAAAACAAAATTCCTGACCTCTCCACCCCTGTGACACTGCAGCCTGATTTCCAGTCAGCACCGCAACTAGATCAACAAACTTTGGAGGTTATTTATTTATATTTTACCTTTATTTAACTAGGCAAGTCAGTTAAGAACAAATTCTTATTTACAATGACGGCCTACACTGGCCGAACCCGGACGACGCTGGGCCAATATTATGTGCCGCCCTATGGGACTCCCAATCACGGCCGGTTGTGATACAGCCTGGAATCAAACCAGGGAGTCTGTAGTGACGCCTCAAGCACTGAGATGCAGTGCCTTAGACCATAGGGGAAGGTGAACAGAAGAGCAAGGGTTGTCGTCCCTCATTGGACCAAAAGGGCTTGGTTATAGGACCAGGAGATTCCCACTGTGTGTTGGCTCTCTGTCTTCAAGACAAGACAGCTGGAATCTTATGGGAGCTCCGGCAGCTCTCTGCGACACCGTAAGTCTTTGACTCCCTCAACAAACAGATTTGGGAAATGTAGAAAAGCAATGAGCCAAAATCTTTCCCCCTCAACAGCTATGAACACACAGGGATCACAACATGGCTGTGAGCTACAGTATGTCATTCGTTTTTCACTACCCTTGGGCTAGGCATTAACACTGTGAATTTAGCCTGGCTCTCTCTTGTTGATGTCACACCCTATCACTACAGCTATTGTGAATAATAAAAACCACAACCCCAACCCCAGTCCCACCTCCCTCCCCCACATTTCACCACCCTCCCGCACCCTTCCCCACAAAAATCTGAATTCCCCTCAAACTCCCACTAGTTGTTTTACACGCCCAAATTGGTATTTGTGCAGCCCGGCCTAATTACAAGTTTGGTTGGTGAATCAAAAAGTATGACAAAACTTGGTCTGCGAAAGCTTCCCTCAAACTATAGCTTAGAGATAGCTATTAATATCCACTCCAGACACTGTCGTTTTGAACCACTTGCTATAGAGCTGTACAGAATGACTGGAGAACAATCAATTAGAATAATACCTTCAACAATAATAACCAGAGAGATAAGTTGTTATTTTAAATGCAAAATATATGACTTAAATACAGTATTTCATCCGGTCCGGACATCAGTCCAAAGAAAACCAAATCCACCAGAAGTGTAACATATGGACCAGCACAAGATTACAAAGGCACAGATTTAACATTGCATTCCTTGAGGTGGATAAATCAACAGAGAATCATTTCCCTTATTGCTTTGAACTCTCCCCCGCAGGTGGAAAGAATTGCTTATGTCCCGGTGTCAGATATCCCTCCTGTGGCAAAATGTGCAGACGTTCAATATTTATGCATGAGTGAAAAAATGACAATAATAAGAGAGACATGAGTTCTCCCACACACACAAATGAGGGTGTTGCTCTGACTCAAAGCAGAGGTTGACACACACGCATGCATGCACGCACGCACACACACACAGCCACACTAGCACATGCGCACACACACACACACACACCAGGGGCCTTCATTCTCTTCCCCCTCACATCTGCTCTTTGGTAGTGTCCAGAGTTCCTGCGTGGTATGTTCACTGGCTGTGGATCCAGTTTTAGGGTTAGGCAAACGCTAGCCACTCACCCTGTGAAAAAAGTTTGATTGCTCCAAGCTTTTGGGTTTGATTGCGTTCAAGCAATGTGCAGACAAGTGTTTGGAGTGCAAATGCATTGAATGGTCAATGACGACAAGCACCCAGCAGTATTGTGCCGAGTCAGAGTGTGTATGTGTGCCATTGAAAAATGTCAAAGAACCTGGTTAGACTGTAACTGTGTACTGTTTTGGCAGAGTGAAAGTACAAACTCTTCTCACGTTCAATGTCCAACAACATTATGTCTGCCAGCACTTGTTTAAACACTTTGGACAACTTTCAGTGGAGATGGAGAAAGGTCCACAAATCATCAGACAAAATTCACAACCGCCCTCCCCCACAGATGTATGCTAGTCTGTGTGGTGTGGGTGTATAATGAACGGTGAGGGGGGACAAGTGGGAGGAAACAGGGCCGAATTGGATGTTGATCCAAAGTTATGTACTTCCTCCCCTTTGGACTGTGTGTGTTTGAGGCATGGCTCGGCACACAGTTCCTCAGGAAGAGGAGACGGAGGCAGAATCTGTAATCTCAGCAGTCAGCACTCACCCACCTCCATGTCTACATCTTGGACTGATTATGATATTCCCATGTTCCTCTCCCCTACGGTTTTGTTGAGGTGGTTTGTTGAGCAGAGGAGGACACATGTAAGCTACATGCAGTACTTCAGGGCTGATCTCCCCTCCCTGGCCTGGTCTGGGCTATGTGTTGGTGGGTGTATGGGTGTGTGCACTGAAAAACCTTCAGTGTGATTCAGCCCATTTCTGTTGTTTTAAGAGAATAAACATTTGGTTTCTGTCTCATCATTCTAATCGGTTGTGAAAGAGAGAGATCAGGTCCTGACAGAGCTGGTGTAACTGAGTCAGGTTTGTAGGCCTCCTTGCTTGCAGACGCTTTTTCAGTTCTGCCCACAAATTTTCTATAGGATTGAGGTCAGGGCTTTGTGATGGCCACTCCAATACCTTTGTTGTCCTTAAGCCATTTTGCCACAACTTTAGAAGTATGCTTGGGGTCATTGTCCATTTGGAAGACCCATTTGTGACCAAGCTTTAACTTCCTGACTGATGTCTTGAGATGTTGCTTCTATATATCCACATCATTTTCCTTCCTCATGATGCCATCTATTTTGTGAAGTGCACCAGTCCCTCCTGCAGCAAAGCACCCCCACAGCATGATGCTGCCACCCCTGTGCTTCACGGTTGGGATGGTGTTCTTCGGCTTGCAAGCATCCCCCTTTTTCCTCTAAATATAACGATGGTCATTATGGTCGATATAGGACTCGTTTTACTGTGGATATAGACACTTTTGTACCTGTTTCCTCCAGCATCTTCACAAGGTCCTTTGCTGTTGTTCTGGGATTGATCTGCACTTTTCGCACCAAATTACGTTAATCTCTAGGAGACAGAACACATCTCCTTCCTGAGCGGTATGACGGCTGCGTGGTCCCATGGTGTTTATACTTGCGTACTATTGTTTGTACATATGAACGTGGTACCTTCAGGCGTTTTTTCTGAGGTCTTGGCTGATTTCTTTTGATTTTCCCATGATGTCAAGCAAAGAGACTGAGTTCGAAGGTAGGCCTTGAAATACATCCACAGGTACACCTCCAATTGACTCAAATTATGTCAATTAGCCTATCAGAAGCTTCTAAAGCCATGACATCATTTTCTGGAATTTCCCAAGCTGTTTAAAGGCACAGTCAACTTAGTGTATGTAAACTTCTGACCCACTGGAATTGTGATACAGTGAATTATAAGTGAAATAATCTGTCTGTTAACAATTGTTGGAAAAATGTATTGTGTCTCCAACCTAAGTGTATGTAAACTTCCGACTTCAACTGTATATAGGGGTAAGGTGACTAGGCAACAGGATATAAGATAAACAGAGTAGCAGCAGCTTGTATGTGAGTGGGTGTGCATGTGTGTAGTGTCAGTATAAATGTACAGCGCATTCAGAAAGTATTCAGCTTCCTTGACTTTTTCCACATTTGTTACATTACAGCCTTATTCTAAAATGGATTAAATTGTTTTTTCCCCCTCATCAATCCAAACACAATACCCCATAATGACAAAGCAAAAACAGGTTTTTAGAAATGTTTGCAAATTAAAACAAAATAAAAAACGGAAATATCACATTTACATAAGTGTTCAGACCCTTTACTCAGTACTTTGTTGAAGCACCTTTGGCAGCGATCACAGCCTCGAGTCTTCTTGGGTATGACGCTACAAGCTTGGTACACCTGTATTTGGGGAGTTTCTCCCATTCTTCTCTGCAGATCCTCTCAAGCTCTGTCAGGTTGGATGGGGAGCGTCGCTGCACAGCTATTTTCAGGTCTATCCAGAGATGTTCGATCAGGTTCAAGTCCTGGCTCTGGTTGGGCCACTCAAGGACATTCAGAGACTTGTCCCGAAGCAACTCCTGCGTTGTCTTGGCTGTGTATTCAGGAGCATTGTCATGTTGGAAGGTGAACCTTTGCCCCAGACTGAGGTCCTGAGCACTCTGGAGCAAGTTTTCATCAAGGATCTCTCTGTACTTTGCTCAGTTAATCTTTCCCTCTATCCTGACTAGTCTCCCAGTCCCTGCCGCTGAAAAACATCCCCACAGCATGATGTTGCCACCACCATGCTTCACCAATGGGATGTTGCCAGGTTTCCTCCAGACATGACGCTTGGCATTCAGGCCAAAGAGTTCAATCTTGGTTTCATCAGACCAGAGAATCTTGTTTCTCATGGTCTGAGAGTCCTTTTGGAGCCTTTTGGCAAACTCCAAGCGGGCTGTCATGTGCCTTTTACTGAGGGGTGTCTTCCGTCTGGCCACTCCACCATAAAGGCCTGATTGGTGGAGTGCTGCAGAGATGGTTGTCCTTCTGGAAGGTTCTTCCATCTCCACAGGGGAACTTTGGAGCTCTGACAGCGTGACCATCGGGTTATTGGTCACCACCCTCACCAAGGCCCTTCTCCCCTGATTGCTCAGTTTGGCCGGGCGGCCAGTTCTAGGAAGAGTCTTGGTGGTTCCAAACTTTCACTGTCAACTGTGGGACCTAAATATAGACAGGTGTGTGCCTTTCCAAATAATGTCCAATCAATTGAATTGATGATCAAGTTGTAGAAACATCTCAAGGATGATCATTGGAAACAGGATGCACCTGAGCTCAATTTCGAGTCTCATAGCAAAGGGTC